TGCTGAATATTTTGAAGAAAGAACAAGGAAATCAACTCCAAATGAGTCTGAATTTTCATTAAGGGGAGCTGTTCCTGAATTGGTTAGAAGTAAAAGTTCAAGATAACCAAAAGTAAGTGATTCATTTCTAAAGACATTAAGAAGAAAAATGGGTGAATCAGTATCAAAATTTTTATATATGATCGACTTCCTTTTCAATTAGCAAATTCCCCCTGGTTGCATAATTTGATTTCTGTGGCAGCAGAAGTTGGCCAACATGTAAGACTTTCAATACCTTATGAGGTCTCAGATGTGTATTTAGAGTCTGAGTATCAACAGGTTCATGAATGGGTTAATGGATTAAAAGCTTATTGGAATGAATTGGGTGTCACTTTGATGTGTGATGGTTGGACCAATAGTTTGAATCAAATGCATATCATTAATTTTCTTGTTTACTGTAGTAAAAGGATTATTTTTTGAAAACTATAGATGTCTCAAGTGTTTGTAGTAGAGATATAAACTTTTATTACAGATTATTAGATGAAGTTGTGGAAGAAATTAGAGAAAAATACATTGTTCAAATAGTCACTGATAACGAGACAGCACTTAAGACCGCAGAAAAAAGACTAATTCAGAAGAAAAAACATTTGTATTGGATAGTATGTTCAGCTCATTATTTGGACTTGTGCCTTGAAGATATTGGGAGGAAAAAATGTGGCAAAGGTTTTGGATGATGCAAAGAAAGTGACTTGTTTTATATACAATCACATTTGGACTGTTAATTTGATGAAGAAATATACACAAAGGAAGCAAATACTTCGTTCTGCTCTTACCCGATTTACCACTCATTTCATACAATTAGAAGAAATAATGAGGCAAAAGCAAAGTTTGAAAGAGATGTTCAATTCAAAAGTTAGTACTTAGTAATTAGTACAATTATTTAAATCTAGCATCTTTTTATGATATTATTGTTTTAAAATATTAATTTAAAATATATTACTCTAAAAATTTATTGATGAATATATAGGAATTTAAAGATTCAAAATGGGGACAACAAAAATCAAGACCTGCTTATGAAGTCAAAAAAATCATTTTGGGAAAAATTTTTTGGAAAAAAGCAGGTGATATAATAAAAGTTTATGAGCTTTTAGTAAAAGTGTTGCGCTTTGTGGATGGTGATGAAAAACCAACAATGGGCTTTATTTACGAGGCTGTGGATAGAGCTAAACAAGCAATTCAACAAACTTGTCGTTATTCTGCTGAATATGAAAAGATTATTGACAATAGATGGAGTTTCATGCACTCTGACTTGCATTCAGCTGGTAAGTAAACCAAGAATATAGATGGTATTTAAAAAATATGTTTATTTTTTATACTTAAATTGCTTATATATTTATTTTTTATTACTTTAATATAATATTGTTATAAATTATGTTTAGGTTACTATCTAAATCCATAATTTCAATTTGGAGTGGAACATTCTGCAAATGTATTTAAGGAAACATTAGAAGGTATAAAAGCAGTTATTGAAAGATTAGAACTTTCGATAGATACTCAAATCAGAATGATTAATCAGGTTAGTATTTAATACTATTTTATAACTTTAACATTTGTTTTATGTATTAAAAATTAAATTATTTTTTATTTATTCATTTATTATTGTATTTTCAATCGATGTAGTTGTTATTATTTCGAGACAAGCATGAAACATTTGGTAGTCCACAAGCACAAAGAGCTTAGAAGCTAATGAATCTAGGTAAATAGTAAGTTAAATAATTATAATTTATTTATATTATTTAATTGTATAGCCCATTGAAATTTAATTTAAATAATCTTATACAGCTGAGTGGTGGATGATATATGGCACTTGTGTTCCTGAATTACAAAAACTAGCAATCAAAGTGCTTAGTCAAACAACATCTGCATCAAATTGTGAACGTAATTGGAGCACATTTAGCTATATTCACACCAAAGCAAGAAACAAATTGAAGTTTGAAAGACTCCAGAAACTTTTATATACCTATTATAACATGAGGTTGAGGATGAGACATTAGAAAAGAATGAGCATTGATGAAATAAATAATAGTTTTAATCCTATTAGCCTTGACCATATTTTTGAAGATGATAATCCACTAACAGAATGACTGCAAGAGAAAGAAAATCCTATATTAGATGGTCAAAACTCTGATTGGTTGCCTGCAGATAATTCTGATAATGAAATGAATGTTGAACGATCACGTCAATCTCAAGAAAGGAATGTGTCTCATTCAAGTTCAAGTCCAACACCAAGTCAGAATGATGATGGTGGTGGTTTAAGTCCAGATGATGATGGTGATGGTGATGGTATGAATTTTGGTGATAATATGGATGCAAATCGACCTTACAGCCCATTTGGAGGAGAATTTAGGCTTGCTGCTACTGGTGGACTTTTTATTAATATGGTAGAATACGGAAGAAATCCATTTGCTAAATCTAGTGAGGGTCAAAGTGCACGTACAGCTCGATCAAAAGGAAAAGCAAAGAAACACCACTATAAAATTTCTAGAGGTTCTTCATCTTCAGGTGAGAGACCAAATTCTAATAACTTTGAGTATAGTGAATCATCTGCTAGTACTCAAAGACATTACTATCCACCAGAACAACATAATTTTCAACCTTCTCATGGTTATCCACCTCCATATGGTTATTATCCACTTCAAATGTATCCTCCACCTCCTCAAATATATCCTCCACCTCAAATGTATCAGTTACCACAAATGTACCCTCCACCACAAATATATCATCCTCAAATATATCTTTCACCTCAAATGTATCAAGAACAAAGGTCTCAGGGATAGAGATGGAGTCAACTTGGCTCTCAAAGTGAAGATAGAGAATCTGATCCTCCTCGTCATTCTACCATATGGTAAATTTGAAATATGTATCAATAATTGTAGTTGATGGAATTTGAATTTATTATATTTTAAGTTTGTAATTTTATTAAATTAAATGCTTGGTATTTAACAATATTATGTTTTTTAATATTTGATTGTCTAGAATTAATATTGAATATGAAATTTGGCAAGAAAATTTTTATGGATAAACCAAATATGAATGCTTTTATAATCTAAATAAAATGTGAATAATTTTTTAGAAATAAAAAACATAGAGTGTCATAAACTATTTTTAAAATCATTGAATAAGAGTTTTTACAATTATAATTATAATTATTACATTTTATAATAAATTATGCAAAAAAAAAATTCACGACCGTGATGACCGCAGTGACCGTAATTATTTCCGTTATATCCAAAAACGCGACAAATGTTACGCGACCGAAAACGTGATCGTGACCGCTATTTAAATCACTGGGCATGGGGCTTTGGAAGAGAAAATACCCAAAAAAACTAGAACTAAGAAAGCTAAAAAAATTCATGTTTCATAATTTGGGAATGTGAAGAGAGCAATGGCAAAAAAACTGAAGTCAACGTGGGCAGCAAAGTAGAAAACGAGCAAACCTGAAACTAAAAAATCAAGTAGAAAAGAAAACCAGCAGAGAAAAGAGAAAACATGAGAAAAAAAACAGCAACGAAAACCATAACAAGAAAACTAGCAGAAAAGAATGCCAGCGGGAAGGAATAGAAGCAGTAAACTTAAAACAGAATAGAAAAAAAAAAGGGATAGGCATTTGGTTAAGGCGGCAGCAACAGAAATAAAGAGAAAGATTTGAAGTCAGCCATCAGAGAAGAACAGAACGAGCAGAAACAAGAGTGGAAAACAAAAGCAAAAAAATAGAACCAAAAAAGAAACATTCATGAACTGGAGCAAAAAAAAAAAGAACTGTAGCAGCAGGAAACCAGTAAAAAACTGGAAAAGAAATAACGAAAAAAAAGGGAAAAAAGGTGAACTGTAGAAACTAGAAAAGGAAACAGCAAAGAACTAAAAAAACCAAGAAAAGAGAAGACTAGAACCAAAAAATAAAGAACCAGAAACCAAAAGAGAGAGCCGCTGCCTTTGGGTGAAAAATAGAAAAAGGTAACTCTTTTCTTTTTTTTTTTGCTCATAACGATTTACGGTATGCATGAGATTAGTATGTTTTGTCTCCGTTTGTTTTGAGTTGAGAGTCCATGAAAGCTACTAGGTGGGTTTTGAAACTCCATACTTTGTTTTTTGATAAAAACAAAACTGGTTTGGGAAGAAAGAAAGGCTTCGTTTTTTTTCCTGATCTTCTTTTTATCGAAGCTCACTCTTTCTATTGATGTTTCTGTTGTATGGAAGGAAAAAAGAGGGTTCTTTTAGAACCGAAAGTCATGAAAATTTATAAAAGGAGAAAACAGTTTCGTTTTCTCATTGCATGAAAGCTTAGGCTATTTCATTTTTGCTTGGTATCACGTGAAAGGAAGCTCCCTTTATTTTCTTCTATGAAACTAAAAATTACTTAGTATAGGGGAAGGAATCATAGAGGGTCTAGAGGAAGAATCATACTTTCTTTTGGTTTCATTCTCAGCTGCCGTGGAATTTGAGTTCTCCCCTTTAGTTTTTAAAGTTCATGGTTTCCCGTTCATGCTTATGGTATTGTCATGCATGTAAAGCAGTTCATGGTTTAAAAAATAATAAATATAATGAGAGCCTCACAAAAGCAATTCTTCTTGTGCAACAACCATTAAATAGATAATAGGAGACACTAGAGGGAGAATGAAGCTAGTGAAATAGTAAGGTAATAGCTTTGCCTAGAACACCTTTTTAACTATTATTTCCATCTTCCTATTTTATTGTTATTTGGGTTTGACATTACTGATCAGAAAGATTCTAGTATTCTACAGGACAAACAGTCATAAGAAGCACCAGAATTTTCTAAATCTGCTTATGACAATCTGAACCAGAATTTTCATGGAGAATATGATGCTTTCAACATCAAAGCATACCTATTGCTACAGTAACAGAACCTGATATCATTTCAACAATAGTATAGAAGCGTTTCCCGCTCCATCTATTAGTAAACAGAAAGAGGCAGAAAGGTTATCAATGTACAAGCAAGAGATATGACATGCACATTGAAGGCAACATTTGCAAGATATAAGCCCCATCTAAGCATGATTCTAGGGCAAATTTTATCTGCAATTGTGTATTTCATTACAGAAGCTGCATTCAATCAAGGGCTAAATCCACACGTCTATGTCACTTATCGACTCGGCCTAGCTGGTTTGGTGATGTTTCCTTTTGCCTATTTTCTTGAAAGGTAGGGTGTGCAAACACTTATCAACATCCACCTAGTTGTAACCTTTAAGTACAAGAACACAGTCACACAGCATGGAACCTGGAACGCTTAGTTTACTAGCTTAGTTCTTTTTAATTAACATGGAAAGGTTCACTGCCTAATCATTTTACATTTTTTGCAGAAAATCAAGGCCAAAGTTGACATTAGCACTGTTTTTGGAGTTATTTGTGGTTTCTTTCTTGGGGTGACAATGCTACTCTTTCATTTCTATATAATTCCAATGAGACTCAAAGATTTTGTTCATAATATGACAAGCACTCACAATTTTTCTTCTTATTTTTCCCCTTGAAGAAAAAACAGGGTTTGTTTAGCTTTTAACATGTTCTTTGCAAGTATGAGATGCACTTCTCCAACATTCGTTGCAGCAGTGTTCAACACCGTTTCATCTTTAACTTTTGTAATTGCCATCTTGTTCAGGTGGAGACTAGGAATCCTTCGGTGTTCTGCAAAGATTACAAACAGTTAAAAAGGAGATTTGATGAACAATATTCTTCATGTTCTTGGTGCAGGATGGAGGTTTTTGATGTAAAGAGTCCTCGTGGGATAGCCAAAATCCTTGGAACCTTAATATCCTTGGCAGGGGTCACGGTCTTCACTTTGTACAAAGGACCAGCACTGCAAAACTTGTGGGATGCTCCAATTGACATGAAAAGACTTTCTATTCATGAGAACTGGGTGAAAGGGTCAATCCTTACTATCGCTAGCTGCATAGCATGTTCTTCATGGTAACTTATGCAGGTAATACATTTACTAATTTTTAATCGTTTTCCCACCCTCGAGGCTAAAAAATGATTGTGAAGTTATATCTCTGAAATTTTTTAGGCAATATTATAAAAACATGTGAACCTTGTAGGCAGTTACTATAAAGAAATATCCTGCTCAACTGTCATTAACAGCATGGATGGACTGCCTTGGGGGAGTACAATCGGCTGTATTTGCTGTGTTCTCACAGCACAAACCGGCAGCATGGTCTATCACCATGTTCGGTATTGATTTCTGGGCTATTACATACGCTGCAAGTAATTTCAGAATCATTAGAATAGTTTAAATATATAGGTATCTCTCTGTTGAAAATCATGTCTAAGCGAATATGCTAGGGAATTGTTTGCTCCGGGTTCCTCATCTTCCTTCAAATTTGGTGCTTGAAGGAGAAAGGGCCAGTCTTTGCGTCCATGTTTAATCCTCTTCAAACAGTTATGGTGGCAGTTCTAGCATACTTTGTCTTTGGTGAAAAACTATATACAGGAAGGTAAGAAGTAAAACTCAAATGTCATTTCAAAGTTCAAAGGTGCAAAAGCACTGCTATGGATCAGGTCCTCTTCAATTTTATTTGACTTAATCATTCAGCATACTGGGTGGAGTCACTGTTATCATTGGTTTATACTTGCTGTTGTAGGGCAAAGAAAAAGATCAGTCTCACAACAAGAGCCAAGAGCAATATTCTTCAGTTTCTGATAAGATTAAGGAAATAGATAAGGAGGAGGTAGTTCTAGCAGTAAAGGAGGAACCATGAAGGAGAGATCAAAAAGCATTTTTTTTTAATCTTTGTTTTAATTTCATTTTGATGGGTTAAAGTAGCCTGACGGACCTTTTAGTGTTCAATTTTTGCCATTAGCCTTCATGCATCTTCTTCAACTGTAATGTGATTGCCAAGTTAGGGTATAATACCTAACTTACATTGATTGAGGCATTTGTACTTTCCTTGATAGTATCTGAGAGCATCAATTTGGTTTCAAGCCTGTTTCAAGTTTCAGCCAAATTCTGAATCTTGATGTCTATGGTACTTACCAAATATTGTAAGCGGCTACCTAGCTTTGTGATGCTTCTCCTTTTGCTTATTTTCTGGTAACTTTGCATATAGGCTATAAATGAGTGCCACTCAGAAGTAGTGCTCACACTCTTTAGATTACCTGAAAGGAAAAAAACTGGGGATGGTGAATGCATCCAAGAGGCTAGAGCTTTCTATTGGCCCTTGTTCTGAAACAGGGAAGCCAACATGGGAGAATCATATGATTATTGCACTGCTAATTGTGCAATTTACTGTTTCTGGATTGGTGTATATAGCGTGTGAAAAGCAGGATAATATTTACCCATTTTTTATTAAATATTGAATATAATGGGCAATGGCATAACTTTTAGTTGTGGATCTCCTTGTCTTTCTTTAATAAAAAATAAGAAATATTATTCACCTATCAAAAGATAAAGTGATTTAAATTGCTAATAAAGTAAAGTGTATTGATTCAAAGCACTAAGATGGTCTTAATTCCGTCTTTTTTTTCTCCAAAGGGATGGAGAGGAGGAAAAGACTAAGCAACAAGAAGAACATAAAATCAACGAACGGATGGTTTGATTAAGTGATAAAATTAGTGTACTTTTCTCTTTGTCGCTTGTGTTGAAATCCATTAAGTGGTTGTGAAAAGATAATTTCTTATAAATTTATTAGGTCTGACTTAAATAAATAAAAGATTTAGAGCAAAAAAAGAATAAGGAAAAAAAATGAAGAAACTAATATGATAATTGTAGTAAATTGGCTTTATCAGATTATAAGCTTCATTTCATTAATTTATAGGCTTCAAAAATAGAAAAGTTTATTTAATTACTTCAAAAGTTGTTTGCCTAACAATATAGATCACCATACACAGATCCATCATGCTACCTAAACTGATAAGATGGCAGAACATGTTGCAAAAGTTGCAGTAGATATATCATACTTAGTTACTTCAACCACTAACACTCCTCGTTAGCATTTCTACTAGAAACGCCAAGACTTTTCCTTAATGTTTCAAACCTTGCCTTTGGTAAGGCCTTGGTCAGAATATCTGCAATTTGATCTTCTAACTTGCAATGCACCAGCTTCATTTCATTCTTAGCTTCAACTTCTCTAATAAAGTGATACTTGATCTTAATGTGTTTAGTTCTTCCGTGAAATACAGAGTTCTTGACCATTTTAATTGTTGACTGATTATCACAAAAAATTTATGTTGGATCATCTTACTTTTGACTCAAATTCATCAAAATTTTTCTTAGCCAAATTGCTTGATTAACAGCAACTACAACAGTTATATACTCTACTTTTGCTGTCAATTAAGCCACAGTTCCTTATTTCTTTGAATTCTAGCTAAACACATTTAATCCAATGAAAAACACATAACTTGAAGTGCTTTTCATGTCTTTATGAGAGCCAGCCCAGTCATTGTCTGTAAATCCAACCAGTCTTGAACTTTTATTCTTCTTGAACCAAATTCTAATTTCATTGGTTCCTTTGACATATCTCAACACTCTCTTAGCAGCCTTAAAATGCAACTCACTAGGATTTTGCATGAACCTAGAGAGTAAATTTGTAGCATACATGATGTCTAGCCTTGTTGCTGTCAAATACAATAAGCAACCAACCAAGCTTCTATAAATAGAACCATACACTTTGTTAGCTTCATCTTCCTTAATGAGTTTCTCATTTTGAGCCAAAATGGTGTTGATTGGTTTGCAATTTTTCATCCCAAACTTATTTAGGATTTCATTTGCATATTTTCTTTGACAAATGAAGATTCCTTATTGGTCTTGATGAATCTTCCATTCCAAGAACATAAGATATTTTTTCCATATCTATCATCTTAAAAACTTCCTACATTTGATGTTTAAAATGCTCTACAAGAGCTGATTTGCTACCTGTCACCAAAAGATCATCAACATATAAAGAAATAATCAATAAATCATTACTATTAAAAACTTTAGTGTACAACATTGCTTCACTAAGACTTTTCTTGAATCCTAACTTCAGCAAATGATCATTAATTCTGGAATTTCAAGCTTTTGGAGCTTGTTTTAATCCATGCAAAGCCTTCTTAAGTAGATAGACTTTGCTCTCATCTTTCTTGGCAATAAAACCATTAGGTTGTTCAATTTAAATATTCTCTTTAAGATAATTATTCAGGAAGGCAGATTTGATATTAAGTTGGTATATTTTCCAATTTTTTTGAGTTGCTAAAGCTAATAGCAGCCTTATGGTGTCCAACCTTGCAACTGGAGCAAATGTCTTTGAAAAATCAATACCAAGCTGTTGGGGGTAGCCTTTAGCTACCAATTTAGCTTTAAGTTTGTTAATGGAACCATTAGCATTCAACTTCGTTTTGAAAATCCATTTAATGCCAATGATGTTTTTGTTGCTTGGTCTGTCAATAAGCATCCAAGTTTGATTTTTCTCAATCATAAGAATCTCTTTTTCATGGCATTCTTCCACTCTAAAAATTTGACAGCTTCTTTAAAGCTTACACGTTCAAGAATGGCAACATTTGATCTTTGATAAATATCTGTGAATGGTTTGATTCTTTTCACTGGTTCATGATCAATGATTTCATTTTTAAACATATAATCCTTTTGATCTTGGAAAGCTTATTATGTCTGTAGCAGTTTTCTTGACTAATTTTTTCTTTGACTTTTTTCAATTCTAGGCAGCTTGCTCATTAAATCTCATATTCCTACTTACAATCACCTTGCCTGTAAGTGGATTGTAAGTCCTATAGCCTTTGGTGATGTTGTTATAGCCCAAAAAAATATAGATTTTTACTTTCTGATCAAGTTTGTCCCTTTTGATATCAGGAACAAACATATAACAAATGCTGCCAAAAACTCTAAGACGTTGCACTGATGGTTTGCTTCCATGCCAGGCTTCAAACAAAGTTTTTTCCTTCAAAGCTTTTGTAGGTAGCCTATTGAGCTAGTAGACAGAAGTATTAATCACCTCTGCCCAAAACTTTTTGAAAAAATTCTTCTCAAACAGTATACATCTTGCCATCTCCATGACTGTTCTATTTTTCCTTTCACTAACTCCATTTTGTTGTGGAGTGTAAGTTGTTGTGAATTGGTGTTCAATTCCTGTATTATCACAAAACTCATTAAATATGTCAGATGTATATTCAGTACTATTATTTGACCTGATGATCTTCATTTTGTAGCCACTTTGATTTTTAATCCAAGCTTTGAACTTTCAAAATACATTTGCAACTTCAGACATTTGTTTCATGAAGTAAATCTAACATATTCTAGTAAAATTATCTATAAAAACAATGAAATATCTACTGTCATTCAAGAATAAGGTTCTCATAAGACCACAAATATCAGTATGAACAAGTTGTAGTTTTTCAGTTACCTTTCATGCTTTGTTAATTGCAAATGGCAACTTATATTATTTTTGTATCTGACAGACTTGGCACACTCCAATACTGACTTCAACAGTAGGCATGTTTAATATAAGATCATTTTTATACATGAAATTCAATGCATTATAGTTGAAATGTCCCATCACATAAAGAAGATTCATCATGTGAACTAGCATATGCAGAAGAGTTTGCTTCATGCCAATTCAAGGAGAAACATTTTCCTTTCATATTAATAGTAAAAAGTTCATGGCCAGTGGGATAATGAATTATGCATGCCTTGTTTTTGAAAACTAAAGAGTAGTTTTTTTCTAGTAATTATCCTATATTTAATAGGTTTTGATCTATTTTAGGTACAAATAGCACATCTGAAATGAGTTTAGTACTTGTTGGTGTCTCAACAGCCACTACTTCTTTTTCTTTGACTTTTATGAAATCACCATTACTTATTCTGACTTTAGAGGTACAAGTCTTGTCTAGTTCTTTGAACATGTTGATATTAGATGCCATATGATGTGTGCATCCACTGTCAATGAACCATGCACTTGAGGAGCTTCTGGTTGCATAGCAAGTTGAAACAAAAACTTGCTCTTGTAGCTGTTATTGGTTGTCAGCAACTCTGTTTTGTTGATCTGGCTACTATTGTTTTTGATTTTTGCATACCTTCTTCATGTGACCAAGCTGCTTATAGTACTTACATTATATGTCAAGTCTGTACAGGTAATATTTCTCCAAGTAAATGGTTTTTTTGTAGTGAGAGCAAGGTGAAAATTGTCTTTTCTTTCCATTGTTTCCAAAACCCTTGTTTCTTCGATCTTCTTATTTTTTGCCTTTGCTTTCTATTTGCATCTTGCCTTTCTCCTTGGCTGTAAAAGCACATTCTGTTAAATCTTCTTGTCTTATAGCCCTTCTTTGCTCTTGAGCTTGCAAAGCATTGAACAACTCTGCTGGAGTTATCTTGGTCAAGTCTTTCGAGTCTTCAAAGGATAAAATTTTTTACTCAAACCTCTTTGATAAGTTGACAAGAATCTTCTCCATAATTCTTTTATCTGATAGCTCTTTACCAAGTAATCTAATCTTGTTTACTATCTTCATGAGTTAGTTATTATACTCCTTTAAATTTTTAGACTCTTTCATCTTTAAGACTTTAAACTCTCTTTTAAGATTCAACCTTTGCATTTGTCTTGTCTTGTCACTACCTTGAAATTCTTTCTTGAGTATATCCCAAGCTTGTTTTGTAATTTTACAAGTCATGATTCTTATGAATATGTCATTAGAAACTGAAGACTCAATACAACTTTTAACCTTGTACCTCTTTACTTTTTCTTCACTATAATTTTTTATTTGAGTTATTGTTGGATTTGCAGGAAGTTGTGGTGGTTCCTTCTCATTTTTCACCACTTTGGACAAATCAAAAGCACTCAAATAGAACTTTATTTTGACAGCCCATAACTCATAGTTCTCAATAGAAAAAATAAGAGGTGGAGGTAAGGAACAACTGCTTGAGGCCATTTAAAGTTGACAAAAGCTGGCTGGCAAGTGTTTGATGGCTTTTCACTCAATTTCAGGAGCTCACAGGTCTTCTAAGACCTTAAAGAAGCTCTGACACCAATTGAAGGATCTAGAGCAGAGAAAAAACAAGGAAAAAAAATGAAAAAACTAATATGGTAATTACAGTAAATTGACTTTATCAAATCATGAGCTTCATTTCATTAATATATAGGCTTCAAAAATACAAAAGTTTGTTTAACTACTACAAAAGTTATTTGCCTAACAGTATGAATCACCATACACAGATCCATCATACTACCTAAATTGATAAGATGGCAGAACATGTTGCAAAAGTTGCAATAGCGATGCCATACTTAGTTGCTTCAACCACTAACAATAAACCTTCTTAAACCAATCCAAAAAGGGATGTACAAGACAAAACTCAAAAGCCTCTTTCAACTAAATTAAAAAAAAAAAACATTAAACTTAAGTTACCAATACTTTAAGTGGTGCTTACTTAAGTGGTGCTCCAACTTGCAAAATTGCTCATTTCTTTTTCTTTCAAAATCTGATGATGATAGGTAATCTAAACCCACCAAAGCACTTCCTGTTGGAAATGCTACTTTTTGTATTATTCAAAACATTACAAAGTTCACTTTGCAGGACGACATTCATGCCTATAACTATGGCAGATGCTAATATGCTCTGTGTCTTTAGTGGATACTATTCCCGGTCTAGCCATTTTCACTTTGTTTGGTATAATAAAATTTAGGTTATCAAATTCAAGGAGAATTCACATTCTCTCATGATTGTAATTGGTCTTCCTTTTTACTGTATGTGAATCGGAAGAAAATGATGTTGGCTAAAATTTGTTGTCCGTTGCAAAAGTGGTTAAATATTTATTCCTTGCAGACACACCTGAAAACTGTAATTGAAAAGGTTTGGAAATATTAAGAAAGCTGCTTTTACAGAGCAAAGAAAATGTTTACAAATCTCTATTGTGTTAACTGTTAACAAATATAATTTCCAATCTGGCCACAGCCCTTCCCAAAATCTAGTGGCTTCCTGCATCAGCATCTCATGGAGAACTTGATGCTTAAAAGCAGAAGCATATGCGTTTGTACAGAATATTTATAACTTCATTATTACATGTGTTTTCTATAGTCAAATCAAATAATTATGTTCTTATGCTGGTGAATATTTAGTGGATTAATTTTGTCAGTGCAAAACATAATCATTTAATGGGTTTCATTGTATTCTCTGAAAACTCTTTTGAACGCTATTATGAAGGTCAGTAAAACCTTAAGGAAAGTTGCATGGATACACACCTCGAAGCCTTTCCTTATATTTCATATGTTTATATCAACAATTCCTAGCCACTAGCAACAACAATCTTAAGATTTTATTTTTTTTCACAATTTCATAAGAAATTTTGGTTGAAGTAGGTGATGTTAGACACGGACAGGTTCATTTTCAGGGTTGAAACACAATATGGATTTGTAACTTGAGACTTAAGTATAATCAGGATGTAACAGTTTTTACTTTGTTTGCTATAAATAGAATTCAGGTATGAAATACAAGGACAGGTCAGACTGATCTTTATCATAAATTTTTCACTATAATAATGTAACGATAATGGGAAAGAAAATGTACATTATGGCGGCTAAAATATTTTGCGAGTTCCAAAAATTTTTAAATATACCTTGCAAACCAGATTTCACACCCTGAAAAGTAGAATGAAAAAGGTTTGACAATACTGATCATAAAGATTCTAGTATTCTACAGGACAAAGTGTCATAAGAAGCACCATAATTTTCTAGATCTGCTTATGACATTCTGAACCAGAATTTTCATGGAGAATACGATGCTTACATCAAAGCATACCTATAGCTACAGTAAAAGAACCTGATATCATTTCAACAATAGTATAGATGCGTTTCATGCTCCATCTATAAGTAAACAGAGAGGCAGAAAGGTTAGCGATACACAAGCAAGAGACATGGCACGCACATTGAAGGCCACATTTGCAAGATATAAGCCCCATCTAAGCATGATTCTAGTGCAAATTTTAACTGCAATTGTGTATTTCATTACAGAAGCTGCATTCAATCAAGGGCTAAATACATATGTCTATGTCACTTATAGATTCGGCATAGCTTTCTTGGTGATGTTTCCTTTTGCCTATTTTCTTGAAAGGTAGGGTATACAAACACTTATCAGCTTTTACCTAGTTGTACCCTTTAAGTACAATAACACAGTCACACAGCATGAAACCAGGAACTCTTAGCTTAGTTCTTTTTAATTAGCATGGAAAGGTTCACTGCCTAAATGATTTTACTTTTTTTGCAGACAATCAAGGCCAAAGCTAACATTAGCACTGTTTTTGGAGTTATTTGTGGTTTCCTTCTTAGGGTGGACAATGGCTACTCTTTCACTTCTATATAATTCCAATAAGACTCAAAGATTTTGTTCATAAAATGAAAAGCACTCACAATTTTTCTTCCTATTTTTCCCCTTGATGAAAAAACAGGGTTTGTTTAGCTTTTAACATGTTCTTCGCAAGTCTGAGATGCACTTCTCCAACATTCGTTGCAGCAGTGTACAACACCGTTTCATCTTTAACTTTTGTAATTGCCATCTTGTTCAGGTGGAGACTAGGAATACACAAGTGTTCTGCAAAGATTACAAACAGTTAAAAGGGAGATTTGACGAACAATATTCTTCATGTTCTTGGTGCAGGATGGAGGTTGTTGATGTAAAGAGTCCTCGTGGGATAGCCAAAATCCTTGGAACCTTAATATCCTTGGCAGGGGTCACTGTCATCACTTTGTACAAAGGACCAGCACTGCAAAACTTGTGGGATGCTCCAATTCATATGAAAAGACTTTCTATTCATGAGAACTGGGTGAAAGGGTCAATCCTTACAATCGCTAGCTGCATAGCATTTTCTTCATGGTATATTATACAGGTAATAGATTTACTAATTTTTAATCGGTTTTCCTCCCTCAAGACTAAAAATGATTGTTATAGTTATATCTCTGAAATTTTTTAGGCAATATTATAAAAGCATGTGAACCTTATAGGCAGTTACTCTGAAGAAATATCCGGCACAACTGTCACTAACAGCATGGATGGACTGCCTTGGGGGGGTACAATCGGCTGTATTTGCAGTGATCTTACAGCACAAACCGGCAGCATGGTCTATTACCATGTTCAGTATTGATTTCTGGGCCATTACATACACTGTAAGTAATTTCAGAACCATTAGAACAGTTTAAATAAATTGGTATCTCTCTGCTGAAAATCATGTCTAACCCTAGTTGGATGAAAATAATATGCTAGGGAATTGTTTGCTCTGGGTTCGTCATCTTCCTTCAAATTTGGTGCTTGAAGGAGAAAGGGCCAGTGTTTGTGTCCATGTTTAATCCTCTTCAAACAGTTATGGTGGCAGTTCTAGCATACTTTATCTTTGGTGAAAAACTATATACAGGAAGGTAAGAAGTAAAATTCAAATGTCATTTCAAAGTTCAAATGGATCACATCCTGGTTAATTTTATTTGACTTTACTATGATCAGCATACTGGGTGGAGTCACTGTTATCATTGGCTTATATTTGCTGTTGTGGGGCAAAGAAAAAGATCAGAGCCAAGAGCAAACTTCTTCACATTCTGATGAGATAAAGGAAATAGATAAGAAGAAGGCAGGTTCAACAGTGAAGGAGGAACCGTGAAAGAGACATCAAAAAGCTTTTGACAGAAGATCAGAATGCCAAAGCAAAATAACTGTCAATTGTCATCAAGTGTAATAAGACTTGCGGTTTTGTGAGATTGAGGGTAGCAATCTTTGTAAAACCAATCTATCCTTATTCAATTCCTTTACTTTCCTTTTCAGTATTATTCTAACACTACAAAATTCACTCAACATGATAACATATTATTGCTCATAACTAACATGATAACATATTAGTTCTCACAACTATGACAGATGCTAAGATGCTATGTATCCCTTGATTAGATAATTTCAACGGAATTTAAGCGTCAAATCTAAGAAGAGTTTGAATCCAAGTTGAGCTCATGTAATCACTTTTAAAATATAGTATCAAATACATTTGGAGTTCAAATTCCAACATCAACACGCTATGACTTCTTATATATATATATATATATAAAAGAAAAATCTAAGTGGTCACTTTCTCTGATGATTCTGATTTGTTTTCTCCAGCATCTAGTACAGTACCGATGGGGAGGATCTTAATGGTGGTTGTTATTTATTTATTTATTTTTATGCCTGTTGTAGAAGTTGTCGAATATACTTATTCTTTGCAAACAGACTCTACACCTTCGAACTTATAATGAAAAATTTTCTACATCAGAATTTTTATAAAGTACATGATGCTCAACATTCATGGAAGCATATGCGTATTTATCTGCAAAAACCCCATAACCAGGTTGTGTGGATTTGTATATATGTGTTTTCTGTTCCATCTATGAGCAAACAGAAAGAAGCAAAGGGATTTCTCTGTGCACACAATATGACATGGGCATTCAAGGTGACTTTTGCAAGATGTAAGCCACACTTTAGGTGGTGTTTGGTTTGGAGAATCTTACGTTATCGTCTGAAATTTTTGTTTTCATATGAGATTGTCTTGTTTGGTTCAAAAACATAAAAAATTCAACAATGTTACATTATTACAGTGCCAGGATTTGATCATTATGGGATGAATCACAAACTCACATTTTTCGTAGGTTATATTACATTCATGAAGAATGTAACTTTTATCATATTTCATTAAGTGAAAATATGAATTAGTTTAAGTGAAAAACCATATGTGGGCAAGTGAAGCCATAGTTCATTTCATACTTCCCCAAAGCACTATATTCCTTTGATGCTCTGTAATTTTTGTTTTACCATTCAGCATACTACTTGGAGTCATTGTTATCATTGGCTTATGCTAGCTATCGTAGGAAAAAGAAAGAGATCAGGCTTACATCAAGACCCAATAGCAATTTTCTTCCATTGTAATAAGCTAAAGGTAACAGGAGTGTTTAGCATCAGGAGAAACGCATCGAAGAGGTTCATGCAGTGTAAGATCGGCTAAGAGATGTGTCCAAATTTATTCAGGAAAAGAACTTGATTTGTTTTAAACAGCCTCCACAGCCACAAGTACCCCTCATTTTTGTCTCTAATTGTTGATATGGAGCTTATTAAAAGCATCTCAAATAATTTGCCGACTGTGAAGTGTGAAGTCGCATATTGGCATATAGTTCTCTCTTTTTTGGATAACTTTAAACACAACTCAAAAGCATGAGATAGTCAAGGAAAGCACTAGTATTGAAATGGTGGATCATACTCAATAGTAGCTTTCATCTTACCTTTACAAAAGCTGAACGTAGACAGAAACTTGAACTCCATCTGTAAATATGATTTCTTTTATAAATTAACGAAACTGAGCTGATTCTCCACTCATTTCGCTTCTTGAACCTGCATTCGAATTGACTCAGGGCTTGACACCTTATTAATGCTGAAAAAGGATTCGATAGCAAAGTCAATCAATTAAAAGCATTTTCTTAAACAAAATACTAATGTATGTTGTCTAATAAACATTTTATGTGCTAATTGTCTTAGAAAATACAAAACAAGTGCCAATGTCAAGTATGAACTGTTAATTAGACTCACCAAAGAAGTAAATCCCCAGTAAAGGCCATCTTTTCAGATATCCATTCCGGAGCTAGCTCTAGCAACAGTTTTAGCTGCTCTTCAACTTCTACTGTGAAAGCAGAGCAATACATAGTTCAGCTAATGTCTTCATAAACCAAACAACTATCATTAGATCCTAACTGTTTAGCATAAAGGCTTACCTCTATTGGCAATATCACAATGGTCAGCAATTATTTTATAAATAAGCTCCTCTTTGGTAATAATTGATCTATTTATGGACTGGAATAGATAGTGAATCATGTTAAAGAGCTTAGGTAGGCGGGCAATCAGGTGTCGTTGCCTCTTTGCTTGTGAGATTGCCGGATCTTGCTCATCCGTTGCTTTTCTTTCTTTCCCCATTATCTGCAAAGATAAGAAATGGTTACTTATGCATTGTACTTGTGCAATCAATGTTCCATGCACTATTCAATGTTCACTTCCAACAAGATGTTATACTAAATGATGCCAAGGAGGAAAACTGTTGGATATCACTAGTTGCCAGCTCATTAACTACTATGCAAAAGTGCATTTGTTTAAGAACCTTCATTCCCCTTGTGATAGGATAAGAATAGTGGATGGCTAATCTACAGATTGATTTACTGCCCCTAATTCCATATCTGATAGAAACTATAGAAGAGCCAAATGATATTTGTGTGCGTAAGTCAATAGTAGGTGACTAATTACTTGGTAATAGAACAGTATGCAGATGGAATTCATCCTCCAATAAGGATGACATCATAGAAAATTCGTAGTGTGCTTACTGAATGCAGAGGGCTCTCAGGCAGCATTGAAAGAATATCATCTTCATCACTATCAACTGGTTTGCCTGCCATCTCATGCACTTCATCAACAACCTTCTCTTCCTTCACAGGATTGTCAAATTTCAAGGACCTGGTACGCAGTGGCCGCCTGACTAACTTGTTTGATGAACTGGAAGAAACATCATCTGGGCTAATGTAACATCTCTTCTGTGGCTTTATATTAGGTGTGGCAGTCATCAGCCTAGCAGGAGTTGAAGCTAGTTTAGCAGGAGTGGACTGAATACTGCCAGCTTTTGTAGGGGACTCATCTTCAGTTTTCAAGGGATTTATCTCTTTGACTGGGGTTGCAGGGAGGCAAGATTTGGGACTCGGCTTGATAGTAGTTGGCCTAGATAAAGATTTAGTTGGGGATTTAATCGGAGAAGAGGTAGTTTTGTCACTAAAGGCAGACTTGTCAGCACATAGCTCTGGAACTTGAAAAATCAAAGACTGAAGGGAAACCTTTGAACATTTCTGGACAGCCTCCGGAGCTTTGCTTGTGGCTTTCTGGGAAAAGCGCTTTCTAAATGATCGAGATACATGAGATGCTAGCTCAGGTTGCTGGTCATTAAATGCAGCAGCTAATGTCTTCACAGCCAGTTTTGAATAGGAATTTGAGCGATTGAATGGTTGTGATCGTGCTTCCTCTTGAATAACTTCACCTTGCGCTGTCAAGGATTGCTGCTCTCTCAGTGTATCAGTTGATGACTGATCAGATGACCATGGAAAACCTCCTTTAATCATGTTCAATTGAATATTCTGCTTTGAACGATTGAACGGCTCTGGGAGATCTTCTGCTGGAACTTCATCACCCTAAAAGAACAATAACCAAAGTCAACACAATATTTAGCAATGTTTTTTCCATTCCCAAAACTCAAAACATATGCTTTCTAACAAGGGGCAGTGTCTGTTTGCTTTAAGTTAAGCCTATTGTGAACATGTGATTATTGCTGCATAGAACCAGCTAGTAGACTTTATTGATTAGGGGCTTTCATTCCTCAAGCACAAGTAAAGCTTTCATTGGGGCTCAGTGTATGATTCAAAGTTTCATTCTTCTTAGGTGGTCACTGCTACAAATGAAATTGAGTGCTGAACTTTATTAACAAATGGCTTCACAATTACTAATCTTTTAAGGCTAGAAGAACATTAGGTAAATTTAACTACCAGAACACAAGTAACAATTTTGGGTTCCTAAGACTCAAAAACTAAACTTTTTAACAAGGGCCGGTATATGTTTGCTATAACTCAAGCTGTATTTTGACCAGGCGGTTATTGCTAGAACCAGCCATTAGAATTCATCAATTAAGGGCTTTCATTCCTCATGTACCAGTGAAGCTTTCATCCGACAATAATATCTGTATGGTTTAAGCACCAATCTTATTACATGGTCACCACTACAAATGAAACCAGGTTCCCGAACTTCTCAATGAACAGCTTCATAATCACTAGTGTTTTATAGTTTTTCTTCTTTCTTGTTGTTAATAATTTGGTGTTGTATAGTTAGAAGAACATTAGGTATGTTTAAGAACCGGAATGCTAGAACTTGACAAGTTTTTGGTTCCTTCCAAATGTAAGCTTTCTAACTAGGAACAGCCCATGTGTGTTTTAACTAGCTTTCTAACTAGGTATATACTACTGCATGGAACGAGCCATTAGAGCCTTTAAAATTTACGAGCTTCGATCTTCAAGCGTGAATAAAGCTTTCACATAGGGAACAATAAAGTTTCAAAACTTGATTTTGTAGATAGCAAACCTCAAGCTTAAAAGTTAGAACACAACCAAATCTAATGTTCCAATTTCCAAATGTTTCAAGAGAGCCAATTGGTTAAACATGCATAAAAACAAAAAAATTTATAGCAAGAAATGCAAAACCAATGATTAATAAACAGAAAAGAATACCTCAGGATAAGCCTTGAGATAATCTGCGAGCCGAGCTCGAAAAACTCTTCTCAAGTTCAGATTCTTAGTGTCAGATTTTGACTCATCCTCACAGTCAATCGCATCGACAATGATGCTAACGTGGAGATCGGGTTTCATACAACTAGTCCTCTCATCAAAGATTAGCATTCTCTTTATCTCAATCGCCTCTGGTAAAATATACTTCAACTGGGCCAAATGACCGTAAGAAAACCTCCTATAAATCAACATCAAACCCAAAAAATAAATGAGCATATTAAACAAATCGCACAAAATAAATGAAAAAAAACCATTAACCGGCACTAATTGACAAGAGTAAGTGAAGTTACCTATCAGTTAAACACTCTATTTTGGGGCTGATATTAGTAAAAGTTGGCATTGACCCTTTCAGTTTTAGCAGCCTGATTGCAGAATCTAAGCTGTAGAAAAAATTACACAATATCTCGTACCTGTATCACAAACATTCAATCAATAAGAATAATTTTTTTTGAAAAGAATTAGGGTTAGAAGAGGTGGAACTTACTTTTCAGGGAGTTTATCAGGACGGTCACCGGAGGCTTTGGGTGGAGGAGATTCAATGGCCACAGATAAGATCTGTTTTGGGGGAGATTTGATCTGGTCGGTCGCAGGTTTGAGCCAGGTCTGGGTCACCGGCTGGATCTCCTTGATGGAAAGGGCGACGCCACGGTTACAAGCACGGTTGGGAAGCTGGAAGGCGTGCTTTTCTGGGGTTTTGGAAATGGGTGATTCGGAGGATAGGTTGAGAGATTTTTTGGATTTCAGAGGGGTGGATTTGAGAGGGTCTGAGGAGCTCATGTCTGAAATATTACGGAGAAAATACAAAGGAAGCGGGAGATGACAGAGCAAAAAGTAATGGCTGAGGAGAGGAAATGGGGGAAGAATTGGGGCGGATTGAGGGTGTTAAACGGCGGAGGCTGCAACGAGAGGAGTGTATAAAAGGGTTTTTCTGGCAGGAAATCTTAGCTGGAACCACTATATGCTGGACACGTGTATTCCCGCCAAATTGATCCGTTGCTTCCCTCGGATTCTCATTTAAGGTTTGTTTGGAGAGTAGCGTAAGCGGTTAGAGTAGGGATATCCCACGCCGGTTTTCAATATATATTTCAAGTAAGCCCATATGAGAGTTAATTATTAACCCAAAAGAATATTGTGAAGGGAGCCCAACAAAGAGTAAGGAATGTGAGGCCCCAACCAAAATTATAACAGTTCCAAATTTGCTGGGAAGGGCCCTTTCTGAATCATCCGACACCTGGTCTTTTCCAGTCTGTTCAAGACCAAAACAAAAACAAACACAAAAATCCTTCCTTCTGCTGCTCACCAAGGCTTTGGCACTTAAATAACCCAACAAAGAAGAAGAAGCAGAAGCCCAGAGGCACCCTTTCCTTTAATTCTTGAATTGATTAACTTCTTGGTAATTTTGGAATGATTTAATCGTAAATAAAAATTCATATTTTGTTCTTTATTTTCTTCCACGCAACCGGAAACCACCTCGTCTCTTGTCCTGTCCTGTCCTTCTTTCTTTCTTTCTTTCTTGGAATTCTCCAAGTTACAGTCAATCTTTGTTTTTGTTGATTTTTGCTGAATAATCCTTTCTGGCCATCGGCCAAATTCGCCGTTTTTACTATTTCTTCATTCTTTCGGGTGTTACTGGAGCTGCTTGTTGGTGGGTCGTAGGTAATTCAAATACTTTTTGTTATTGATTGTGATAAATGGATAATCTTGGCATATTATTTATTTCAGCTGCTTTTCTTTTCTTCTTTAGGAGAATTTATATGGTTAGAATTTGGGTTAACTTTTGATTTTTTAATAGTTTGTTTTTATTTTAATTGAAATTGGAGTCTTTGGTTGACTTAAAATTCCCCAAGAATTACCTTCTTTTAGCATAATTTCCTGCTAAGTTTTTTTTTTTTTTTGGGATATTCTGGATTACTTTAGTTGAACTAAGAATGGGCACTAATATATCTGCTGAAATTTTATCTGGGTTTGATGTTTTTCTTCCATATATATATTATATATATATTTTTTTTATGGTTTATGTATTGTGGTTTGCATACAGTTGAATTAAGAATGGGCACCAATATATCTGCTGAAATTTTATCTCGGTTTGATGTTTTTCTTACATATATTATTTATTTATTATTTTTTTTATGGTTTACGTATTGTGGTTTTGCATACATTTGCTACTCTTTGTGTTCAAGGATCTGCAATTTAATTTTATAGGTTGAAATTGTTGCATCTTGTAGCTTGTTGCCAGCTGGTTCATCAAGGAAAAGATTGTGGTTTTGTTCCAACTTATGATTTGCAGGTATTTGAACTTAAGTAATTAGTGTAGGGATTTAGAAGAAATATTTTGTGATGATGTGTTTCTTTCATTCTTGTTTTATTTGTTCATTCAGCATTTGGATTTTACATTAAAAAGATACCGGCGATAAGTTTTGCGCTGTTCATAGTGTTGCTCAGTCTCTTTGTTGTTCTGATGCACATTTTGATGGATTAGTTTTCTGTTTTGCTTCTATTTCCCCTGCTTTCTGTGCATATGAGCATGTGCATGCTTACATCATAAAAAAGGAATTTGTCTGATTTTCATTTTATTGGCAGAACCTTGCCATAAACATTTGCGTTATTTGGGAATGGACTGGCTGTTTTTCCCTGTCATCAAGATTTACAAATGATGTTTGGGGGGCAAAAGGCTGCAAATGCTCTTGGCATATTTAAGTGGAGATGGGGTGGTGAATCCTCTTTGACAACGGGCTTACTAGGTGACGGGCCTCCAGAGATTGAGTTGTCTGATTATGGAAGAGCGCCACCAAGTCCTGGTAGTGAAAGCCCTTCAGGGCTTCTTAATGGTGAGACTCCGAATGTGGAACCAATTTCTGACTTGGACTTGTTCTTTGAACGGCTCTATAGCTACTATTGTGAGAAAGGGCTTTGGTGCATCATTTTAAAATGGATAGTTGAGCTTTTGAGCCTGGGCTTTACCATATGTTTCTCAGGGTTTTTCTTATTGTTTGTCGATTGGAATGGTCTCCGCAATGCAAAGTGTGGGATGGATGCATTTGAATCTGGTATTAAGCCGTGTGATCTTGCTAAGGAAGCTCTTCACCATCACCCATTAACCCCTTTAACACTTTCGAAAGCTATTATTGTTGGATATTTGGGGTTATTTTCCATCTATTGGATATTCTGTTTTTTGAGGTTTTTTGCACAATTAAAGGACACTCTCGGAATACGTCATTTCTATTATAACACGTAAGTTTATATTTGATTAGTTACACGATGCTCTGAGCTTTAATTTGCATTTGGGTAGAGCATTTATGTTAACAGTATCCTATAAATGTTTAATGATTTTATTATTATTTTTTGAAATTTAATTTTGCAGTCTCCATGTTACTGACAATGAAATTCAAACCATGCCATGGGCAACAATCCTTGAAAGAGTTGTCCGGTTACAAAGTTCACACCAGCTCTGTGTGGTCAAGGATCTTTCTGCTCTTGATGTGGTTATGCGATTGATGCGAAAGGAGAACTACTTGATTGGAATGCTTAATAAAGGAGTGCTTGCTTTTCCTATTTCACCCTGGGTCCCTGGTGCTGGTCCAACTGTCAAATTTGGCCCTGATGGAGTGCAACATCGTCTCACTCTGACAAAGACACTTGAATGGACCTTAAATTGGTGTATACTGCAGAGCATGTTTGACCGGTATGTTTAACTTTACAAGAACATTTGACTTTCTGCTTGATGTACGTTCCTTCCTCTAGTAATTACTGTTATGGATATGGTTCTAACACGTATATTTAGCAGAACAACCTAGAGAAGCAAGTGTAATGACTTTATACTTTCAAATAAATTACTTATTTCGTCAGTTTGTAATGCATAATATTTTGATTTCAAGAATATTATATAATCTTTATTGTGTGAAGAGGTGCAACAAGATGCATTTTTGGTGTTAAAATGTGAAAAATTAATGCTACCATTTAATTGTTAGTGTGTTTTCTGAAATCTGTTGTGATAACACTGGCAAAAATGGTTGTGGTCTTTGAGACTTATACGTTTTTGTAGTCAAGAGACGATGAATTTTTTTCTTTGCATCATCCCGTGCATGGTTTTGGTTCCTAGCAGCTACTTTGGTGCTGCAGTTTAAGAAATTCTTAGATTTTTCATTTTTGCTACGAAGTCTTAATGTTTGGTAATCCTGCTTAGGTTGGTCTTTACGGGTCAATTTTATTTCAGAAAAAAAGTTAGTTAAAATGATGTAACACTGCTTTTTTTTTTTGGGTTACTGTTGCTTTTTTGTGCCTTTTTGGCTTGCACCTATTTGGTATATGTCAAAAATTCTGAAAATGTTTTACAGATCCATTCTATCTTTAGGGACAAAATATTTTACGAAGTATTTCAAGTTCCAAATGTAACCCTGAAATTAACCTTGACAAATTTTATGAGGTTTTGGTGATTTTAGTGGCCAAAAACATTTTGCTATTAGTTTTTCTTTTTCTTTTTTTTTTTTTTTTTTTTGAAGAAAAGAAAAAACAACTAAATTTTAGGGGTTTAGAACCAACTTCTTTTTGGAATGGATGCTTTTTGCAGAAACTTCTGTGTTAGAAGTGACTTCGTTTCTAATCCTAGAACATTGAAGAAGAGGCTCAGGGTAGTGGGGCTTGCTATGCTTCTTCTCTCTCCGTTTCTTGTTATATTCATGCTGGTATATCTCTTCTTAAGACATGCTGAGCAATTCTATAATCATCCAAGCATAGCTTCATCCCGAAGATGGTCAAATTTGTCAAAGTGGATGTTTAGAGAATTCAATGAGGTACTATCATCCCCTCTTCTCTCTGCTTCATTTGTAAGTTAAATCATTTTCTCTTGTTCTGTGAAGTCTATAAGGATCAATCCACTAGCTATCCTCACAAGCTTGTGTTATTACATTTATCTGGTAATCTTGAGCATTAGTCATTGTTTGAAGTTACATACTTGTATTTCATGTGAAAATTTAAATTTAATTAAATAAAAAAAAGAAAATTTAAATTTTTTATAGAGAAGAAAAGTTGTTTAGAACCTACTGTGAAAATAAGATGACAACAATTGTTTCTTGAGATGGATTTTTACATTTCTAAATTCTCCTGTTTTTACATACTGTTATGCTGTATTTTTACATATACTGTTGTCTTGTCTTACAGGTTGACCATTTATTCAAGCATCGGATTAATAGCAGTGTAATGCATGCTGCTGAGTATCTAAAGCAATTCCCCTCACCAATTATTTCTATCATTGCAAAGTTTATCTCGTTTGTATCTGGCGGCTTTGCTGCTATATTGATCATCATTGCCTTTCTGGAGGAATCTTTGCTAGAGGGTCATGTAATATTTTTGAACTTTAACTGTTTCAGATGCTTCTATTTTCTTCTATATTTCATTATAGTTTTTTACATATGAGTATATATTTTTTTTATTTTTGTAGATATTTGGTCGGAACTTGTTTTGGTATGCCGCTATTTTTGGAACCATAACTGCCATTAGTCGGGCTGCTGTTACAGATGAACTTCTGGTCCTTGATCCAGAAGGAGCAATGTCTATGGTGGTTCAACATACACATTATATGCCAAAGAGATGGCGTGGTAAAGAGAACACTGAAATAGTCCGGATAGAGTTTGAAACTCTATTTCAGGTAATCCCACTTAGTTCCTTTTGGGTTCTACTTGAATCTAGGAGTTGCATTTGGAATTGTAAATCTGGGAAGATATGATGTTTTAACTGCCATATAGCCATATGGCTAGTTTGCATTGGTCATTGCTTTTCCTAGTTGTCTTGATCCTCAGTTTGGATGATGTTTTACAACTCATGGAAGTCTATGGATTTTCTAGTAACAACATGTCACTTGTTCTGACCATTTTGCTGCATCAAGTGCCAGCAATAAAAATTTCTAGGCCAGCCATGTTTTGTCTGGCGTTGTTACTTTTTGATTGGGAGATACAATTAAAGTTAACATTCATTTGACAAATGTTTTAATTCTTTTCTCTTTACATCAGACTTTTTGAACTTTTTGTTTTTTAATTTTGTGATGCAGTACACTGGGATGATGCTGCTAGAGGAGATGGCCTCAATTTTCCTCACTCCATTCTTGCTTCTATTTGTTGTCCCAAAGGTTAATTTTTTTTTGGGAAATGATTTTTATTGTCATTTCTTATACCACACATCTTAGTTTTTGAACTAAAATGCTGCGTGTTTATTTTGCAGCGGGTGGATGACATTTTACGGTTCATTGCAGATTTTACTGTGCATATTGAAGGTGTTGGCGAAGTTTGCAGGTAGACTGTTCTTTTCCTTTTACTTCTTTTCAACCAGTTTATTACTAGCTATATATATATCATGTGCCATTAAACGAGATAACATTTTTGATTATTCCCCTCTTTATTTTGCAGTTTTAGTGCCTTTGATTTCCAAAAGCATGGCAATGGCAATTATGCCTCTCCACAAAATATGCCTCGTGCACAGAGGAGCTCTCAAGGGAAAATGGAGAAATCGTTCTTGAGGTATGATTATAGCAAGGTCAACTGAATTTGTATCTTTTCTCTGCTGTACACCACTCGCACATATTATTCTTGCTATTTGCTAGGTGAATTAGCTTGGAAAATTCAAAATCACCACAAAATCTTCTATTAGTATTTTCTGTGATAAAAGCTGACAGCAAGTTTTGAATTTCATTATAAAAATGCGATCTGGTGAGACACAATATAGTATTGCTTTGTACGAAATGCCATTTATCTACAATTTAGATTATTTCTTGGCTGATTGCTTCGAATGCCTTCCTGTCCTTCTAGTCATTATTTCCCCCAATTCTTTCATAATTTTTTTTTCTTTTTTTTCTTTAAAGTTTAGATTTGTGATTTTTCTTGGTTACAGTGCTTTTTCTCCCCTTTGTATTATGATGAATCTCCTTTCTAATTTTTCCTTTCATGTATAACTTCATCTTGAATCATTTTATTCTAATTGCAGTTTCCAAAGTAGCTATCCTTCATGGGAACCAGATGCTCAAGGTAAGCAGTTCCTGTCAAATATTAGAACTTTCAGGGATCTAAAGTTGCAAGAGGGGGGAGCTAGAAAGGCATATTCTCCAGGTAGATTGTTGCGAGGTAGCCCACTGAGAGACCTCCATTTGAGAGCTTATGGAGATAGAAATGGGCTTTTATCAAGGGAAATGCAGCAGAACATTCCTGGCACTGGCTACAATTTGGGTTCTTTATGGCTAATTGATGCTGATCAAAAGAATCACCCCTATCTTCTTGATTGGTATTATACATCTCGACCTCACTATGTGAACAGTTATAGGAGAGACACTGCAACCAGGCCATTTGAACCAGCCGAGCAACAGCATGGAGATAATTGGTTACGAATCAACATTACAAATAGTGAAGCAAGAGGTGAAGAATACTGGCCACGCCATCATGATGATTGGTCACAGTCTCATCTTGAAGCTTCAACATCAGCTCCTTTATTCCATGAGAGTGTGCTTCAGCATCATGATACAAATGAACTGGCACACCATACAAGGAGCCATTGGTGGGCTAGAAGTGGTTCCCATGGTGCACATTCCCAAACAAGTTTTCTTGAACCTCCTGATTTCAACCACTATTCTCCAGACCATCCTCATGATAACATCTCTGAGAGAAGTGTAGAAGAGCAAGATCAAATCTTGGATTGGAGGGATTCTCAAAGGTTATCTCGGACGACTTACATGGATGATCTTGAAGCCGGAGGGGATGTAAATCTTCATTTTGATGACATTTATAGCAGACCTCCTGAAACTCCTACTGCAAATTTAAGGCCCCTGAGCTTCGATTGATCAATAAGATCTTAATTTGTGGAGTGATACATTCCTTCAAATGAATGGAATGCAAATGGGTTTCTATTGCTGGCCTAGGGTTTTATGTCCTATTAGAAGAAGCTCTGTATTCTTTGTTGTATATAGATTCATATGAGGTTAGTTTGTAGAAGGCCTCAACTCAGATTTAGAAGGTAACATACTCCAATGAATCACTGTTAGCCTTCGGATTGTGTATAAACAAACAATTACAAGCCATTGATCATTTTAAAATTTTTTTTCAATTCCATGTGTTTCTTTTTGCATAATTGTCTTGGTCAAGCATCCTTAAATGGTGTTGAAATTAATTTTGGCAAGCTAGTTTGTCTTCTTTGCAGGCATACATTAGTAATAACAAGGCTTACATTAGTAATTTTGGCAAGTTAGTTTATGTTCTTGTGTCAATTTGTATCTTGAAAAAAAATTTATAAAATGTAAAAGTTTTCGTATAATAATTAATGTAAACATGTTAAACATATAATATATTTTTTATTTTTATTAAAATTAATATAAATTTTTTATTAATTTTTAAATCTGTCATCTTAAATTTTTTTGTTCATTTTGTATTTTGCATCCCACTCTCCACTTTGGACCTGTTACCCTTACTAACAAAACTAAACCCATGGTTAAGGGTTTTTGAAGGGGTTGGTTTAACAAGAGCAAAAACTTCTGAATTTCAGCACGAGAAAAGCTTCAGTGCTGAAATTCTGATGAGAAAAGCTTCAATTTCACTTCTTTCAAACTTCAACCGCCAAAGATTCAGGACAACAATCGCCCCTCTCCTCTGCAGAAATTACGTTTCTGATAATTCTCCATTGTCATCTCCTTCTTCACCTCTTCACTCATCCGGCCGTCGCCTCCAATCTTGTGCCAAAAGCCATGGCTTAATCCTCAAAACCCACCAATTCCAAACAAACCCATCTCGTAATTTCGATACTCTTGGAGAAAAACCCACCCAATTGTCCTCTAGGCGGAGAAAACTGAGAGTAAAATCTGATCTTGAGGAAGCTTTTGAGTCTGCTAAAACCGCTGAAGAAATGCTCGGAGAATTTAAGATATGGAAGCTTGTTTTGATGAGAGAGAGCTGGTGATAGCTTCATTGAAAGTTGGACTCGAACTTGACCAAGAAGTTGAAGACCCTGAAAAGGCTCTATCTTTTGCTGACAAAGCATTGGAAGCATTGGATAAAGATGGTAAACCTTCTTTACTTGTTGCCATGGCTTTACAATTGATGGGTTCTGTTATAGTTTAAAGGGTTCTGTTAATTATAGTTTAAAATGGTTTAATGATAGTTTAGGCTATCTTAATAGGGCTAATAGGTTGCTTGGTAGGTTAGAGGAATATGGTGTTGCTAGTGTTGAGGATATCAGGCCAGTGCTGCATGCGGTGCAGCTTGAATTGGGGAATGTGAAGAAAGCGATAGGAAGGAGAGAGGAGGCTCTTGGGAATCTTAAGAAGGCTTTGGAAATTAAGAATGACTTTGGAGAAGGATGGTAAAGAATTGGGGATGCCATATAGGGATTTGGCTGAAGCTTATGTTTCAGTTCCAAATTTTAGGAGGCCTTGCCTTTTGGTTTGAAGGCGTTGCAGATTCAAAGGAAGGAGCTGGGCCATAATTCAGCGGAGGTTGCACATTATAGGAGGATTCTTGGAGTTATTTTTACTGGTAAAGAGGAGCATGAGAAGGCATTGGAGCAGAATAAGTTGTCACAGAAGGTTTTGAAGAATTGGGGTAAGGTTCTGAGTTGCTCCATTTAGAAATCGGTGCTGCTAGTATGCAGATTGCAATGGAGAAGTATGATGAGGCTATTAATACTTTGAAAGGCGTAGTTCAGCGAACAGAGAAAGATAGTGAGAATCGAGCTCTGGTGCTTATTTTGATGGGAAAAGCTGTAATCAGGAAAATTTTGCGGACTCGAAGAGTTGTTTGGAGATTGCTTGTGGAATTCATGATAAGAAAGAGACAGTTTCTCCAATTGTAGTTGCTGAGGCATACTCGGAGATATCAATGCAGTATGAGACTATGAATGAGTTTGAAACTGCAATTTCATTGTTAAAGAGAACATTGGCTTTACTTGAGAAGCAGCCTCAAGAGCAGCACTCAGAGGGAAGTGTTTCTGCTAGAACAGGGTGGTTACTCCTGTTGAGAGGTGAGGTGCTGCAGGCAATTCCTTACTTGGAGAGTGCAGCAGAGAGATTGCAAGAGAGCTTTGGTTCCAAGCATTTCGGGGTTGGGTATATTTACAACAATTTGGGGGCAGCATATTTGGAATTAGATAGACCTCAGTCAGCAGCACAGATGTTTGCAGTTGCAAAGGACATCATGGATGTCTCTCTTGGTCCTCATCATGCATATTCAATTGAAGCTTGCCAGAATCTTTCTAAACCATATGGTGCAATGGGAAGGTAAGGTGTTTTGCTTTTTTTTTTTTTTCTTTTCTTTTATTCTCTATGCATCATGCTTTTACTAGTTCAGTATTGTTGGAGTTGCATCGCAAATACGCTTCTGTTAGACTAGTAATGTGGTGACTTCTTTCCTGCTATCTAAATAATTGTGTCCTTATCTGGCTGATGAGGAGAAAACCAGTATTGCATTTTATTGAAAGACTAGTTGCTTCCGTCTTGTTGATATATTGTTTTCTAATATTTTATCACATTTTAATTAGTTTTCTAATGGTACTTGAGTTAAAGTAACAGGCAAAATGGGTTTCAAAAAGTAAATAAATGGAAATTATCAAGAATCACATTTAAGAGTACCATGACGTGAGAGTTAGCCTAGGGCATTGCTGAAGTGAAATCTGTCCATGGCTATATGAGAAAGGGAGAGATATTTCAAGGGAAAACATATTTCAAGGTCTAAAGGTGAAAAGTTCAAGGTTCAATAATGTAATAAAACGACAGGATATGCTATGTTCCTGTACATTCATAAGGCTGTTCTTAATTCTTCTACCAACAAAGAAACTACCACTAAGTTTTAGAAGAATCTAAATTCTAAGTTTTCCATACAAAACTTCCATGCATGTTACATGTTGCATTCTTCTGAATGATGCACATGTAGATATAAAAGCATATGCCTTACCTGGAAGTTTACGTTTTCATGGTAACGTCAACTGAAATGAATCTGTTTTACAATGTGTATTGGCTTTTAGGGTTAAATTTGGATCTGAAAAATTAATTTCGTGGATGTTGCAGCTATACCCTTGCAATTGAATTCCAGCAGCAAGTAATTGATGTCTGGGAAGGCCATGGGCCAAGTGCAAAAGATGAACTCAGAGAAGCCCAACGTATTCTTGAAGAATTAAAGACAAGGGCCCATGGTACATCCACTAACCAGCTTCCTACAAGGGCCTTGCCTTTTCCACAAAATAGTCTTGCCACCAGACATTCACAACCTGGTATTCCTGTTAACCAGAATTCAGCCAGCTCAATATGGTAGACTTATACTATTATTAGCTTGTGCTCTTTTATCACAATGTTCCCACACTTTTTCTTTAGGCTTGACTTTGTCATTGAAAGAGTTACGATCATTTGTTTTTTTCTTTAATTCTTATCATACATGTTTTGCTGGTCATTTAAAACAACCAAATCGATTCTCTTTCTTTTCCCTGCCATGGACCAATTTGTTGTTAGTTAACATGCAAATTTGTGCAGTAAAGCCGAGATAATGCTTGTGTTTCATTTTTTTTTCCCAAGAAGCAAGTTCTCTTTATGGAACATGTTTTTCATCTTTGTCAGTGGGGTTTTCTGATGAATAAGAATTAAAGAGTTTTTCCTTTTTTTTTTTTTTTTTGGTATTTAGTGATATTAGGAATTGGATCTGACTACTAAAATTAAAAGTCTAATATTTTAGCAACAGATATACTACTCTTGGCACAGCATTAGAGTCCATCCAAGTTACACATATTTGTTTAGGTGTTCTGCATTGCCGGTTTTTGAAATGAAAATTTCTTAACAGATAGTGTTATTTTCTTTACACTGATTCTTAAGTGCAGAGAACATTGGATCGAGTACCTTTACTTTGTTGATTACGCATGTCATTATCTGCATTTTCATTTTCTAGTCAATGGGGTTTTGTACTTGTTCCAATCACCCATGTTGTTCATCATGTAGTGGTTAGCAATACATTGTCGGAAAGTCTATTATTAACTACATTTTAACTTGAAATTTTCTCATCTTTTTGACACCCCAAAACGGACAGGTCAGTTTGACAATTGCTTTTCAATATTTTTTATTTGTGTTACTTGCCCAGGTACCATTAAACAATAGATTCCAGCAAGCAGAGATGCTAAATGGTACATTTGACGTGGCAGCATAGATGACAGAGTGTTGACAAACAATTGCAGAAAGTGACAATAGCAAACATTTTGTCTTGCAATTTTTGTCAACCATGGGGCTCTAATTCTGGTTTAACTCTGAACAAATCCAATCTTTTATCAGTAAAATGTGAAAATCTGCATTTAAATTGTGAGCTATTATTTGTTTTAATTCACTGAATCTTATGATATTATCTCACAAAATTTATTCAAGTTTTTACATATATATTATAACAGAAATTAGATTGGAAGCTTTTCAAATAAATATTGGATGCTGCCATGAAAGGACTCTAAGATGCCAATCCCCAAGACTGCAAAAATTTGTATTTTTTAGAGAATTATGAACATTTCGGACAAAGAATTAGATAATAATTCATTCATCATCACATTGGAATAATAGAAAGGTAGAAAAATAGATGTGAAACTAATTCAATTAATTTAATCCCTAAGAAAAATGCTGTCAACTTGCGGAATTCAATATCATCATCGTTATCATTGCTGTATAATTAGAAATTTTGAGGATGTAGTGCATATGGCTGATTATAAAAGGCTAGCTTGTCAAAGATTTTAATTTGTTTATTTATTGGTCAACTTTCTAGCAAGGATTTTAATGCCCTCTACTTCCTGTAGCTTGGCCTCAAAGTCTTACGCAGCATTGAACAATAAAAACTATATGTTCTAGTTTCAAACATTGGGCGTTGAATTTAGATCATGGAACTGCTCTCAAGCTGGTATTATGATGGATCCTTACCAGAAAGTTATGTGATGCCATCAGAGAGAAGATCCGGAAAGCTCAATGTTCCATTAGGAAAATCCATTACAGTGATTGATCTTGAGTGTCAGGATCGATAAGAGACAATTCAGCAAATTTTGAAAGCTTGGGAAGAGTATGGATGTTTCCAGGTTCACCCTTGACATTTCTTTTCTTAATTGATTTCTTAAAATTTAATCAAAGTGTGATTTGATGTGACATCATATATATGATTACTTGTAAATTTTTATTTCCCTTTGACATTGCATCGTCCTGTCTGTTACCTTCCATGTTCCAAGGAATCATATTGGACTTATATGGTTAAGAAAAACAATGGATTAGGCCGAGACGAACATGGGCAACCTGTATCCTAGTCCAACATTGCTGTTTTTTATTGGTATAATTGGTTTGTACAGCTATCAACCTTCAGTCGTGATCATAGCTGACTTCATGGATGAGCTAAGCCAGCAAGCAATTCCAAAACAGAGCCCGATAATTATAACATAAATATTCTCTCTTGTGATCACTTGCATCTTAAGCCAGACTACTAATTTCGAAACGTATACGTCATATTACCGCTACAAGACTGATCACAATTCACAAAAACTTCACATTCAAGAGATGGAGAAGCTTGTTTCAAACTGGTGCAAAAGTAAACCCTTACCTGAGTCTTATATATTCCCACCGGAAACAAGACCCGGCAAGCTTCTTGTTCCTATATGCAATACCATTCCAGTAATCGATCTGAGTAAAGCTGAGGGTCAAAACCGAACTGATATCATTCAGCAGATTTTGAAGGCTAGCCAAGAGTTTGGATTTTTCCAGGTTATCAATTTCTTAGTACCAATAACTTTTGACTTAGACAAAATTAGAAGGATTCAGAGATTTTTTTTTTCTATATTTTTCAACTCTTGGGTTTATTTTTGTCCTGTTAGATTGTTATTCATATACTTCATCGCTCTTTTTAAACAGGTTGTTAACCATGGAATTCCAAAAAACCTGATGAATGAAAGCATGGATGTTTTCAAGGAGGTCTTTCAGATGCCTGCGGAGGAAAAGGCCATTCTCTACTCCGATGATCCCAAAAAAAGCTGCAGGCTTTTGACAAGCAGTCCAAACTATGATTGGGAAGAGATTCACGTTTGGCGTGACAATTTGCGACACCCTTGCCATCCTTTAGAAGAATCCATTAAACTTTGGCCTGAAAAGCCAACTAGATACAGGGAGGTTGTGTCAACATATTCAATTGAAGCAAAGAAATTGGGTTTAAGGATCCTGGAGTTAGTTTCTGAAGGCTTAGGGCTAGAATCTGGCTACTTCGGGGATAAATTAAGTGAAGCTTTGTCAATATCAGTTAACCATTACCCAACCTGTCCTGATCCGAGTTTAACTCTTGGACTAAGTAAACATTGCGACGCTAACCTCATAACCATTCTCCATCAGGGAGATGTAAGCGGGCTTCAAGTCTTCAAGGATGGGGAATGGATAGGTGTTGAGCCTTTGCATAATGCAATTGTGATTAACATAGGGCACCAGTTACAGGTATATCTGCATTCCTTTATCTTGTTGAACACTGTTAATTTCTCTGTTTATCCCTCTCCCAAACACTGGCGGATCTATTCTTTGTGGAAAGGTGTCCAAGGACACCCCAAAAAAGTTGGAAAATTTTTCTTTAGACAGCTTCAAAATTTTCTTCTGACACCCCCAAGATTAAAAAATAAAAATAAAATTGAAAAAAAAAATTTCCTGAACATTTTTCTGTCTATGAAATTAATAAACCTGTCCAAAGTTTTATATAATATATATATATATATATATAAAATAAGTGAATACTCTCGAAAAAAATTCTGAATCTATCACTGCTCCTAAATAAGTAGTAGTTGCATTCAACTTTTCCAAAACTAGTTTACTTGCATAAACAGGATTCTTCAGTTTTGCTAAAAGAAAAAAAGAATACAATTTGGCCAACTTGCTATAATATACATTAGAAACTATGTATGTTAGAAGCTAATTATGTGTTGTTTTTTTCTGGTGACCAGTAGCAATGTGACTAATTGATATTTGTTGATTTGCATAGATTATCAGTAACAACAAGCTAAAGAGTGCCGAACATCGGGTTGTAACAAACTCAAAAGTTGCACGCACAACAGCTGCCTTCTTCATTGGCCCTTCAGATGATAGCATTATAGAACCGGCGAAATCTCTAACAAATCATGCCTGCAACCCTCCACTGTATCGTGCTTTTGAATACAAAGAATTTATACTTAACTTCTACTCCATGATGGGATACGATGAACTCTCTCTGAAGCCTTTTAAATTGTGAGCTTAATTAACAATATTGTAATAGAAATTATGTATGAAATTAAATATGATGCGAGATAAAAAGAAAAAAAAAACTCTTTTTCTCCTTTATTATTGAGTTAAAGTGTGATATAATGATCTAAAATTTAATTTCAATGATTTATGTAGTCATTTTTAAAAATTAGTATTCAAAAACTCTGTATTTTTAAATCTAAACATTTATAATCTTTTTATTCTTATTCTCAAATTACAATCTCATTTATTAAAAAAAATGTAATTTAATGATTATCTTAAGTAGATTTCAATATTTATGAAGTCATAATTTCTTTTTCACATTAATAATCTTTTCAATTTAAAAAGTTTCAAAATGTTTATATATAGCAGGTCTTCTCATTTTTCAAAACAATATCAACTAGCCTTCTCTTAATTTGGCACAACTCTCCTTCTACTCTCAAGTAACCCCATTTCAAGACTCAAACTTTGTGATGCAAAATTTACTTATACACGCATGTCATATACCTTAAAAATGCTTAATCTATCTATATTAAAGCTTCAAATAAATATTGTCAATTTTGACTTAAATCTAAGAGGAGAGGTTTTAAAGCAATTTAACTCATAATTCTCTCAATTATTTTTAAAATTCAAAAGGAAAAAAACAATTCCATCAAATATATAATTTTAGACCACATGCAAAACCCAAAGTTCCAACTATTAAATTTTCGATCCATTAACATATATATGCATTCCGTTGGGCTTTAATAGTTCCATTTTGTAAATATATACAAATATGGGAATGTAACATATTAGGACTTCATTTTAATTAGTAAAATAAACTAAATAAATAAATTATCTTTAATGTACCAAAAAAACACATTATATTTATAGTCAATATAATCTTGAGTGGTTGATCTTGAGTCATTATATCTAAAGTCAATATAATCTTTAATGTTCAGTGATTGATCTTGAGTGTAATGATCGATATGAGACAATTCAGCAAATTTTGAAAGCTTGGGAAGAGCATGATGTTTGGAGGTTCACCTATGACATTTCTCTGCTCAATTGATTTCTTAAAATTTAATCAATGTGTAATTTGATGTGACATCATATATATAATTACTTGTAAATTTTTATTTCCCTTTTACATTGTATCTTCCTTCCTTTTCGTTAACTTAGGTGTTCCAAGGAATTAGTATTGGACTTTGTGGTTAAGAAAAACAATGATCAGGTCGAGACCAATATGGGCAACCTGTATCCAAGTCCAACATTGCTGTTTCTTATTGGTATAATTGGTTTGTTCAGCTATCAACTTTCAGACATGATCTTGACGTTAATTATAATACTATTAATGTTATGATGGAAGTTTTTAGGTCGAAAGTAATAAACATAACAATATAAAAATAATATATTATAATAAATTTACAATAATAGATAACAATTAATAATTAATAATACAGAAAAAATACAACATACTCAGATTTACATAGAAAACCTTTTAGTGTAAAAAAAAAATTATAAACCATAAAAAAAGCTTTATTATCAAATAATAGATATACAAAATTTTTTTCTTGCTAAAACTAAAACTAATCAACAACTAAAGAAATAATTGGAGAAATTTCACTAAATGGGTGACTCAACAAATATACTTGGATTTGTTCCTAGATAGTTTCAAACTTGATCTTCACAATTTAAAATGTAAAACTCTGAATCATAAATCTACTGATAAAATTTCAGCTTAATCGGACTATCGATGACTTCTGTTCAATCAACTCTCCATTTTTTTTTCTTTTTTAATTTTCCTAGCTTCTTTTTTCCCCTTTTCTTTTCTTGGTTTGCGGCGCCACCTTGTTTTTTTCACCTTAAAATAGCCTCACCTCTTTTTATTAAGTAACTAGAGCTTTGTATAAAAAGAAAGACCAAGGCCTATGGCCTTTGATTGGTCTAAACCTAATTACATGAGATTGGACCCTACTTTCCTAACAATCTCCCTCTCCAACCCCATTAAGAGGAGATTCATCACCATAGTAGTTTCATTTAGAATTTACTTTGGCCAAGGAACCCAATCCTACCAAGTTACTACAGAGCTCAAGATTCTTCCTGTGAAGTGTCTTAGTCAACATATCTGCTATATTCTCATCAATATAAACTTTTTTCAACAATATCTATTGTTCCTCAATCATCGAACATAACCAGTGATATCTAACATCAATATGTTTTATTCTAGCATAGTGTCATAATGTCTAGATCTGAGTTTTATTGCTAGACATTGGCTTAAAAGAGTAGCCACCAATCTTTTTTATCTAAGTGCGATTGGCCACCTGAGGAATCTATCTTTTAAGGAACACCTAAGCCTAAAGGTCCTTAAAAGAATAGGTTAAGGTCTACTAACCAGAACAGAATTCGAAAGTACGATTACATGTGAGAAATGTTATAGTACCCTCACAACGCCCATCGAAAGATGGTACCAGCTTAATTTTATGTTATCTAATAAGCTTTAAAAATTTACTAAGTAATTAATTATTAGAAATTATTTCAATTGACTCTAATACTTTTAGCAAAAAATTGAAAAAATTTTCTCACCTCAAGAGTATATAAGGAAACTATTGTTTCACTTCTAGAGGCTTTATCGTCGGATTATTTAACATTAAAGAAAATTCAAGAAGCAAAAATGAAGAAAAAGAAAAAAAAAATGATTCAGCTTTAGGTATAAATCCTTTTTTCTTCAAAACTCATTGCTTTTGTACAAGAAAAATTGATACTTTCAACTTTTTCTCAAAAATATTTTTTAGAAAACTTATTTTCAAGAAAAATTGATACTTTTAACTTTTCCTCAAAAATATTTTTTAGAAAAAACTTATTTTTAAGGAAAATTGATATTTTTAACTTTTTCTCGAAAATATTTTTTAGAAACATTTATTTTCAAGAAAAATTGATACTTTCAACTTTTCTCAAAAATATACTTTTTAGAATTTTTATTTAAAGAAAATAAAATAAAATAAAAATAAAAATAAAATAAAATAAAAATAAGATAAGAAATATTAAATAATTCTAATCTAATCAATAAATAATAATAATAATAATAACAAAATATAAATATAAAAAAAAAAGAACAAAGAAAAAAAAAACCTTGGAACAGCTCGGCTTTGGAAACGACTCACACTCGGGTCACACACGGGTCAAACGCGGGTTAGCGCTCGGGTCAGGTTATCCGATTTCAAAACGCGCGGATCCTCTAGGAATAGTAACGCCAAAACGACGTCATTTTCAATAGGTATAAAAGGTTATAACCTCTATTTTTCAACAGATCTTCCCCTCCTTTCCTCTTCCCTCTCTTAACCGAATGAAGAACTCCGGTTGAATCTCACCGGATTCTAGAAAATATCATCGAAAATCTGAGTTTTTCGCTAGAAGTTCGTCGAAAAGTTGGTCGATTTCTGAAAATAGTTACCAAAAACTGGATAGCTGGTCAAAAAATTCAACCAGTGCCAAAAAATTCATCGAAAAATTCAATCGAAATCTGAAAATTTTCAAAAAATTTCCAGAAAAAAATCGCCTAAAATTCTCCAAAATTTTTAAAAAATTCATGAAATTGCTTTTGACCTTTCTGGATGCTTTTTTTTCTTCTCTTCTGCTCTCCCTCTCTCCCAACGTTTATTTTCTTTGTCCGTCTCCTTTTGTGTGTTTATTCCAGCACCTATTTATAGGGATTGATCAGAAGAGTTTCTGATCAATCCTAATTTTCTCTTGGATTGGGATTCAATCATTGAATCCAATCTGGACTCTGATTGAATTCTAAATTCATGGTAGAACTCCAGTTTTTATCCTAATCTCAATTCCAATCGGGTAAGCAGAAAAAGGAAGGAAGAAAAGAGAAAAAAAATAAGATAATATATTAATTAATAGATAAATAATAATAATAATAATAATAGATAAATAATAATAAAGTATATATATTAATAGATAAATAATAATAAATATATATTAATAAATAGTAATAATAAATAAATAAATACAAAAAATAAAAATACAAAATAAAATAAAATAATAATAAAATAAAATGAAATGGGCTTACCCACTTGGACCAGGCCTAATAGATCCAGGCGTGGACCAAATTGGGTATCTACAGCTACCCCTCTTTATACATTTTTTGTGAAACAAAAATTTTTAATTATTATAATTTAAGCATCACTCAGCTCACTCCCAACACTATATGGTATACAGTAGGTTTCATTATTCTTTGTCAATATTTGAACATTTTTTTCACTTTTCTTTTATTCTAAGAATTTTTTCTTTTAAAAGGCACCCTAGTGATAACAAGCAGTACTATATAATAGCTTGGCCTAATAAAAAATTATTTTTCAATTGCTTGAGCTTAATAAAAAATTGAAAACTACTATTCTTTTACCTCAAAAAATAAAAAATAAATAAAAATGATGGGTCAGAGTTTGGGATCGCTGCCAAAGTTGAAACGTGGGAGATAATAAATGGGCCTGACATTTTTGTTGATGCATCAGTGGCTATCTCCATCTTAGATCTATAAAATCAGGATAAAATACTTGAGTATTCTTGTAGGGGGAACTCGTCATTGATGCCCATGAGTTGACCCCTAAAAAGTAATAAATGGGATAAAGAACTGAGGTAGGTATAAGGTAACTTTATAAGATTTTATTTTAACCTAGTTTTTATCTAACTTTTAGCTTGGTCTTGTGAAGATGCCTTCCAATGAAAACTTCGACTTCACCCTATACCAATATGTACTTAGGTCCAAAAAGGGCCACAATAAGATTAAGCTCGAGGCCTTATCCCACGGAGGGGAAAAAGTTATCAACCCTTCAGCTTACTGCTCTCTGATAGTTTAGAACACAAAGTCTATGGCTAGTCGGGACCTCTCCTCAACACAAGCACCTCCTCTTGCCAAAAAACCAAAGGGTGGAGGTCTTTTTTTTTCCATCTTACAAAATCTTGAACCTAGGGTGTTAAAGTGTAACTCGGAGAAAATCTTTATGAGGTTGGAGTTTGCTCTCACCGATGACCCCACTAAGAACCTTAACGTGGCGAGGAGGTTCTATAAGATCGCGATCTTTCCACTCGGTAAATGCTATCTAACTTCAGCT